GCTGTAACCGGTCGCGCCTGTAGCAATTTTGTGCCAGTCGAGCTCACAGTCCAGGACCAGGTCTTCCTTTTCATGGACGTTGATTTGGCGCACTGGGGACGAGGGTAATGGTGGGGTGCTTCCTCGTGCTTCCAGGCTCTCCATCAACTCCCTCCAACCGGGTCTAAGCCCTTCTTTGCTAACAGGCCAGGTTCAGTCTCCTCCCGGTCAAGACTCCCTCTCTCCTCTGGCTCCGCCCCTCCTGCGCCAACCCCTCCCGCTGGCGCCAGCCCTCTCACCTCCGCAATCTGTGGACTTTCGACAAGGGTACGTGTGCAGCAGGCAAGAATCGCACCACCTCAGAAGCCGCAACAATACACCTGAAGGGGCATGAATGAGGCTGTAACTCGCCCCGAAAAACGGGGCTCCACGGAGAGGGCAGGGCCAAGGTCGGGGGCGGAGTCAGGCGCCTAATCCTTAGAGGTCAGCCCAAGGGGCGGGGCTAGAAGGCAGTCCTCCCTGAAGAGGGGTGTAACCAGTCTCAGGAAAGAGCGCCCAGGGAATAGGACCCGTTGCCCAGGAAGTCCGCTGTGCGGAAGGACTACTGGGGACCAGGAACCTCTCAGACGTGGGGAAGGAAGAACCACCGAGACCCAAAGCCAGAGGAGAAAGGCTGGGTATTCACGGGGCAAGGATGAAGGTTAGAAACCCAGTTCCCATGATCTGGACTCACCACATTTGTTGGGACAAGAATCCTCACCTGGAGAAAACGATGAAATGATAATCAGATTTCAAAGGTAAAGGACACCAGAGAGGGGGCCAGGGAATAGGTGGGGTTGGGCTCTTGGGTTGGAGGGAGGAAGGACCCGGGTGCCTGGAGCTCCGGGTCCAAGGGAGGGCGCGGTCCGTAGCGGTGAGGGGCTGGACGTAGAGAAGCAGGGGGCTGGGGACAGAGACCCTGGGACTGGTGGAGGAAGGGGCTGTGGTCCCTGACGGAGCCCATCTTCCCTCACCTCCGTGAAACCGAGCGACATTGCGCCGAAACGTTTCCTTTTCCCGAGTCAACATCGCGGAGAACTCCTTCACGAAAGTGTCATCTGGGAAGAAGCAGGGTGACAGGGAGTGCGACCCCTCCGCTCCCCACCCCAGGAGTGAGGTGCAGAAAGTTTGCCTCTGTCTGAAGGGCATGCCAATTCCCGTTGGGGACTTCTCAGGGAGCCACAATGAAATTGAATGACCACTTGACCACGCCGGCCACGGAGCTAAGCGAGGGCTGGTGTCCAGGCACCGTTATGATCCATTTTAGAGGCGGAAAACCTCCTCCAAGGCCACGCAGCTAGGGGATGACCGGGGGTGGGGGGATTTGAACCTAGGCAGGTTGACTCCAGAGCCAAAAGATTCTGGAGCCTCTCCCCTGGCCCGTGTGTGCATTTACCTCTTAAACCACGGTTTGTGATAAGTTTCACACTCCTCAGAAAGCTCGACGCTGCCATTTTCATTGTGGCCTCATCTGGAGGGGAACAGGGGATGCGGGGAGGGGAGCTCTAACCTCAGATTCCAAGCCTTAAGCTCTCTTGGCTCAGCTAGTGATACAAACTACAATACCCATGTGGCTCCTGGGCAAGGATGGGGCTGGAAAGCGATTGCCCGCCCGTTGCCTCCTGGGAGTTGTAGTTTTTATCCAAAATGGCAAGGTAAGACGTAGGGAAAGTGAACTCCTAGCCCTGGCAAGCCTGGATTCTGCATCCCAGCCTTCTCCACGCCCGAACCCAGTAGACTCTGCCTTCAGCCTTTCCCTCCCGTCGCCCCCTGCCCCTAGCAATTCTAACACTAGACGCCTCCTTTCCCAGGACCCAGGGTTCCCACGCTCTGCCGTGCCCTCACCGACAGCCCCATTTAAGGTAGACTGTATATCTGGCAGGTCCTTGAAATTGTCGACGGCCTCTCTTATCTTTTCCATCACTTCCCTGTGCCGCCCGGGGGCAAGGTGGGTTCGCAGGTATTCTTTTTCCAAGGCGTCCAACTGCTTCCCAACCCTCTCATCACACGTGATACAGCTCCGGGCAGGAAGCAGGCAGCCGGCTAGCGCCGCCACCAGGAGGGCAACTTGGGGACCCATTTCCCCAGGGCGCTCAGCCCCAGCAGAACCCACCAGGACTATCTGGACTTTATGGGGAGGGTCCGCCCACCCCACACGGAGGAGGAAGT